TAAAGTGGTTGTACCTTATAGGGCCTTAGTAATTTTAAAACTATTTTTGTTTCATAGGTATGTTTGAATTTCACAACAATTTTACACTAGGAATCTTTGCCCAAATATACTATCTTTTGGTCAAGCTAGAAGAGCTAGAATACTTAGTGGGCTGTGATGCAGTTTGACTATGGGAGGGAAAATTGGTGAGTGAAGATGAGATAATTTAATGTCTGGCCCAGACTGTAAGTTGGTTAAAAGACTGAGGAAGACAATGACTCAATATTTTGGCTACATTGTATATCACCAAATCTCCAACAAGCATGTACTATGTCCCCAACTTTGCTAGGTGCTCTGGGGATGCAGAGACATAGTTGGGGAGATAGGCTCCGTGAGGGGTGTGTAACTTTACCCTTTGATACTTCTATATTTTAGTACATAATCTTTCTAAATTATTGTGACTGACAAACATATGTCACCCTTCTATCATCTTGATAATGAACTTTTCTAAACTATCAGATAAGATGACATAGCTAGTTCATCACCAGGTAGCACTGTCTGTAGATTGGAAGGACCTCCTTACCAATGCTTGCATGCTGGACATGACTTTCAGAAAACAAAGGTCACTTCCTTGTGATGGGTGAGACATTGCAATAGAATTTCGTTGGATATTTAGCCCACATAGAACTCAGATCCATATGTCCCCTTTAAAGTAGCCATCTTGATTGGTTATACCAAATTGGAATTAAAAGGAATCCAGAAATGTTTTGGGAAATGGCAATATCTTTGAAATTAGGACACCACTCTGCATGGATTATACATTGAGCTAGAGTAGACATGCCCTCTAAAAAGAAGGTAGAAAAAAGCAGATTGGGAGTAGACTGTGGTGGGGATCTTGAGGAAGCCCTGAGGAGATGGATGAATATCACTTTTTTGCCACTTTTAAGTAGATGGAGTATAAAAGTACCTCTTCACAGTGCCCTACCTGAGTACTAACCTACCAAGACCTTGAATTTCTATTAAAAATGTATTCCATTGGGGGCTGCTAGATGGCACAGTGGATAGAGTGCCAACTGTGGAGTCAGGAGCACCTGAGTTCAAATCTGGCCTCCGACACTTGATATTTGCTAGCTGTGTGACCCTGGGCAAGTCACTTAACCTCATTGCCACCCCCCCACCCACCCAATGCATTCCATTGAATCTTGAAAACTTGGGTTTTAATGGAATTCTTTTTTAAAATGCACATAATCCTGACCTCTAAGTCTGCACTTATTAACTAATCTCAAAGAGATTAGCTAACGGCAAAATTGAATGGGATGGAGGACACGTTGGAGAAAAATGACTCCTAGACAAATGAGAATTTCCCAAGTTTGCCCAGAGGTAACCCTAGTTGCTGAAGTAGAAAGCTTGAGAACATTGAAGGGAAATGACTGATCATTACATCTTAGAATTCATAGCTGAAAAAGAAAAACCAGGCAAAGTCTGACATGCACCTTAGACTTTGGAAGAACAGATTTCAGAATGGAAGGATAAATAGGCCCCCATGACCTAAATTTCTATGGATGAAGCTGGCCCAAATAGGATGGGAAAATTACTTGGAATATAACCAAAGGAGGTCAAGGACAGATCCTATACACACATATACAGCACTTTTGGTCGCAGAAATGTGAAATCATACTATATCGGTGAATGGTTAAACAAATTGGGCTGTGCGAATGTAATGGCATATGGTTGCAATGCAAGAAAGAACAAATATGAGGGGTTCAGAGAAACTTGGAAAGACATAAGGGTTGATACAGAGTGAAGAAAGCAGAGCCAAGAGAATATATGTAATTTATAATAGAGGATTTGCTGATCTTGACAAAGTTCTAAAATATTAAAGAATGTATTTGTCACCGTTTAGAGAGAAAAATGTGATCACTAAGAGCCAGCATGACTTCATCAAGAACATATGCCAGAATGATATCATTTCCTTTTTTTGATGTGGTTATTAAACTAGATTAGAGGAATGTTCTCTGTCTCTATCTCTTACATTTAAGCAAAGTAGTTGACAAAAGTCTCTCATGCTATCATTGTAAAGTGGAAAGGTGTGACCTAGATGGTAGCAAAGTTAGGCATATTGAAACTGGTTAAGTGACTGGACCCAGAAAATTGTTATTAGTGAAGTGATATTTAGGTCTTTGTGGGGAGAAGTCTTTAATGGAATGGCCCCATATTGGCCTGGTACTCAAAAAAATTAATGCTTGGCTGAAGGCAGATAGCGTATTTTTCAAATTTGTGGATAACACAAAGCTGGTGGGATGGCATACATCTTGGATGACGGGTTCTAAAACTATCTCACTTGGCCAAAATGATAAACCTAACCATACCGTATCAGTCAAACCTAATCACCTAATCATATAGAGATATATATAAAGCCTTAGACTTGGGTTAAAAAGGATTATCCTAACAAATATAGGATGCCATTAGGCATTGTGTGAAAAAGATATGGGGGTTTTGAGTGGACTACAAGGTAAATAGAAGTCAACAATATGACATGATAGCCAAAAAGCTAATAGTCTTCAGATCCATTAAGAGGCATAATGTTCAACCTGAAAGTGATAGTCCCACTATGTTTTTATCTAGAATATTGTGTTTAGTTCTGCTTATCACATTTTAGGAATGGGTGAAAAGGATGGTGACTACTGATCACTCTATAAGAAGACTGGTTGAAGAAACCGGATATTTATCATTGAGGGGAAGGGGCACAGATATAATAGCTGCCTTTGAATATTTGAAGGTCTGATCATATGGAAAAGGGATTTGTATTGCTTCACTCTAGAGAACAAAACTAGGAGCAGTGGGTTGGACAAAGCTTGATGTAAGGAAAAACTTCAAAAGAAAAAGAAAAGGGGCAACTAGGTGGTGCAGTGGATAGAGCACCCGCCCTGGATTCAGGAGGACCTGAGTTCAAATCCGGCCTCAGACACTTGACACTTACTAGCTGTGTGACCCTGGCAAGTCACTTAACCCCATTACCTAGCCAAAAAAAAAAAAAAAATTCCTGACAATTAGCACTGTTTCAGAGTTAACTGGGTTGTCCTGGGAGATAAGTGTATCCCCTTTCACCGGACGCCTTTAAGCAGAGACTATATGGCCATATGTCATTGCAGACAGGATTCAAAGAGGTTGCTTCCAACTCAAAGATTCTATGATTCTATAAGCATGAGGGACTTACTTGGATCCTGAGTCGTAGGTATTGCCACACTTCAGATTCATCCATTGAGAACTGGAAGTGCTGGACGATCCTTACGTGTAGACAGTAGCATTTCCCCCAGCCCCTTGCATGCACATGCAGACCATCTGATTTTACAATCTTTATCTTAAGATTAGTATGTGAACCTCCACTAAGGTTATATTGCATAGTGTGGAGGTGCCTCTGGGTTCTTGAAGATTATGTCAGAAGAACACAAGCTCTGATAGGTCCTATCAAGATGGAAGAACTTCTAGTGTAGACATGATGATATAACTCATCTGAGGACCAGTTTTGCCAAGTTGGAAGGGGCTTATCACTAGGTTGGCCACAGGGTGATTAATGTTTTGTTTTGCTACAGCAACTCTCAAAGACCATCTACTAAGTTAGGATTTACCATCTAGGTTTGTCAAGAGAGTTGCCACATTGCTGAAATCACACGTCTTTGGCATGACATCAGTTTTAAAACAACCGCTTGGCAACCTTTTTGTTCCCAACTCTACACACAAAGGCTGGCTAATTTCTGGTCTAGAAAACTCTTTCCTTGAGGAAGTTCAGGGCTTGACTTATCTGCAAATCATTCACAGTCCAAAATAACTTGGGAAAATTTAGTAATGTAGAAGTAGAGTCCAAAGGGGATTAGGTGGGCTTCAGTTAAGGTCTAGAGTAGCCTAAAAGATAGACTGTACCTAGCTCTGGGCTCATGAAAAAGTGAAATTGAGCTCAGTTAAGGCCAAGAATATTGCTAGTCTGGCCAATATGAGAAATTATATAAAGATTGTCAGTTATCTTCTGATAGTTGTAAAGTTATGATCTTATAATAATCATGGGACAGGATTCATCTCAGGGGTGGGAGTTGTCATAAGACTTTCCTTGGAAATATATGTTCCTGTGTATCTTTAACTTTTTCTAGACTGCCTTGTTTTTGGAGAGAACATTCTTTGTCAGCATCAAAAAGGACTGCCTATTGGGGTGAATCTGGTCCATGTTAATGCAGTTTCTTCAACTTTTTCAATCCAGAAGTTTGTTCTGGAAGGCAGTACATAGTGCTGTTATTATGTAAAGCCACAACTCTATGTTAACCTGTCAATGCCCTTTGACCTCCATTTTTTTTTTTAATTAGGTCTCCCTATCTCACCCAAGCTGGAAGTGTAACAGCCATTCATGCACCTTGATCTGTATGGGAACTTTGACCTGCTCCATTTCCAACCTGGGCCATTTCACACCTCCTTAGCCAACCTGGTGGTTCCTCAGTCCTGGGGCTCACCATACTAGTACCAAACTTATTGCAGACACTCGAATGGCTTAACCTACTGCAGCTCAGAACTCCAGAGCTTGTGATCCACCAGCCTCAGCCTCCTCAGTAGCAGAGATTACAGACATGCACAATTAAGCCCAGCCCTTCTACCTCCACTTTAAATAGTGAGCCTGAAACTGGGTCCAAAACTAAGTATGGTTTAATGAAGAGTGAAAGGTGGCTTCTTCCTGAATACCAGTAACTAGCTGTGTGGCCTTGGGCAAGCCACTTCCCCTGAGCTGTTTCCCATCTGTAAAATGGAGGTGGAGGAGTAGGAATTAGATTTAAATGATCTCTAGGGGCCTTTCTGTCCTAATACTTTGTGATCCAGTACCCAATACAGTGCCATACTAACATTATTCCAATGTCAACCCTGACATAAAACTCCAGTGCCAGCATCAAAACCAACACTATCCCATTCCCAAACCTCACCCCAACCTCAGAAATTACCCTCAATAAAGCCCAAGCAATCCAAAATCATGACCCTGAAAATGCATAGGGGATGCTTCTTTATTCTGTCATTGACATAATTAAGTTCTAATGAGTATCCCAATGTCTCCTCATGTTCATTTTCCCAGCACAAACACTATACTTTAAAATATTTATTAGTATAAATTTTGGAAGCATAACAATTATCTTTAATTACACATTATATGTTTCTCTGAATATGTTTAATGTCATATTTATTCATACATTTTATTTTAAATCAGAAAAAATATTTTGATTATACTTTGGAAAACAAGTTTGTGGATTTCAGCACACAACTGAAATCCTGTGGCTTTCTAATAGAAACCTTTGGAAAAGTGCTTCACCTTGCAAAATCATAAATGAGGAAGTACTATGGTGCTAAATTACAGCAAAGCCTTGTAACTCATCCAATAACACACATTCCAATACCATGGTGGTTCTTCATGGACTTCCTATACTTACCCTCCCTCACTTCATTAGAAAAGTAACCCTCACTCACACTTCCCTTCTTACTATCAAGAAATACTGATTGTTGTGTGCTTGGGGACACACTGGGATAATCCCTAATTATGTGCTTTCTGAAATGGTAGAGCTCCCAGCTAATCAATCCTCATCCCTAGACTGTCACTTCCATGTTTAGACAGTTGCTCACTTCCTTCTCTGTCCCTTAGTTGCTAAAATTGGGTTGTATTGAGTTGGGTGAGGGCTAGTTATTGTTCTTTCTCAGCCAAGAGATTGTTCTGCCCTATTTTTCCCCCTGATCCTCAAAGTATCTGGAATTACCCTTCTGGGAACACATCACTCTAAGCTTCAAGGCATCATCTGAGAGACTAGGCAATAATACAGTACATGACTCTCATCTAGCTAGGTTGAGTCATACATCTAACCAAGATCTTCCACTCCAATTCCAAACATGTAAATTTGGTGTTCAGTAGTGTCCCTTCATGTAGGAGACTCCAAGACACATGTAGACATTTCCTGCTCCCCACCATCCCTCCCCCTTTACGCAATTTGGGCTAGTTTTTCTGATTCTGTCATATAAGAAACAATAGAAATAAATACAATTATCTAATATGTTAGAATTGAAAATCCATCATTGAAGAATCACATGTGAACTTGCCCATTTTCAGATAAAAACAGTCCCTGTGTTGGCACTGGTGCCAATAGAATGTTAAGAGGTTCTCAGCACATTGGATAGACCCTTTTATGGAGTATTTTCTCCATTATCTGGAGAAAATGGAAAAAATCATGCAGAATGAGAAGGCACAGATGGTTATCTAATCTGATGACACTTCATTTGGTATTGAATGTTCTCAAAATGGTATTCCAACTTTGGCGGGAACCACACAGCCTTTGGAAAATACCTATCTGGAAATGGGTGAGCATGGAGAGTAACATTACGTAAGCAACATTGCCCTCTCTTCAATCCCAGTTTCTTTATTCAGTGTTTCTAGTTCATATGAGCTCTGTCTTAATTGCCAGTCTTTTTTGTTCATAATATGGAGTTACATAAGAAATTAATAAATCTTTTTAATAAATATTGATGAAACTCTGAGAATATCTTTTACATAGTAGGCACTTAATGTTTACTGTTGCTGCTGCTAATTTGATGCTTGGATTTTTAATGTCCTTAGCAATATTTTTACTCAGACTTCACCATAGCTTAAACCAGGCTGCCTGCCTTCCTTCCTATTCAAATGAATCAAACTAAAAGTCAAAACTTCCATCTCCATTTGAATTCTTTTCCATTTGAATAGATAGATATCTTTAATCTAGTTTATTTTGACAAGATCATCAAGTCTTGGCCTACTATAGCCATTCTGTGACTAAATTCAACTGCTTCTCTACTTATGACATGTTTGAATGGGATAAAATTTGTATCAGTTGACTTCAAATGATTTGGGGAATTCCCAAAGGAATTGGTATTACCAATTTCTCTTTAGCATGAAAACAAGTCTATATTGCTATAGTGTCTTCCTAATATAGCCACACTGTGAAATGGCCCAGTATCAGAACTTCCCCAGTCACAGATGGCCAGCCCTGACTTGCTTCTACTCTCAGAGGATCTAAATTTCAGTGCATGAACTAAGTGAACGAATGGGAAAACCCAAGGTATTTTTCCTCATTGGACAATGACATCAGATGGGTCACTTTTTACTCTGCGGTTTCAATGTGTTACAGTAAGCCTCGGAGGGGTTTGCTTCATCATTTACAAGTATTGAAAGGATTTCTTTTAGTACCTGCATATACAGCAGTGCCTGAGAAAATCTTCACGAAATTTAGGGTCTATTTCTCCAGGAATCAAATAGAAGACCAAAGAAGGTATCACTCTTTTTTGGCAATTGTTCATCAGAAAATTACTGATAGAATAAGTTTCTCAAATTCTAGCAGGGGCATTCTGAGGAGAAGTCAGCATTCAAAGCCTGTGGAATTTGACTGACTTGGGAAGGACAGTAGAGAATATTCCTGTTTGTCCCTAGACAAATTCCAATGTGTATTTTGAGAACTTCCACTTAAGCTCTTGAAGATGCTTCTTTAAACATAGTGTCAGAATCTAAAAATCAAACTGAAGACATGTGTGCATATGTATACACGTGTCTGTATGTATGATGTGCATGTATATACATGCATATATGAAATCAAACACTGAGCACTGAAAATTTAGTCACTTATTAATAGGCAACCCAATGGCTTTTCAATGTAATAGCAATATAACAAAAATATACTCTAGTGTGTTACAATTAAGAATTCCAAATATCCATAATATATTTTAAATATCCCTTTACTGAGCTCAGGTTTTCTGACTATGAAGCAAAATGCTGATGCTTTCATCATTTAATTCTAATTGTGTTCTAACATGTAGTTCATAAGGGAGAGCTGATGGCAGAATGGTCCATAGCAAAGAGCAGTTGACAAGAGCCTAGGGATTGAGTTGTGTCTCATAAACTCAATTTTTTTTCAAGGGTGGAAATCCTTCACTTGCATGGACACTAGCTCCATTTTCCTCCCTCTTGGCTTTCATTGCATGGTCCCTAAAAACTGAAAACTGTCTCAAGTTGCTGAATGAAGGCATGGAGCCAGTTCACTTTCATTCAGTCAGTGAACAAGCATTTATTAAATATCTGCAGTGTGCTAGACATTGGGGACAGAAAGAAAGGCCAAAGACAGCCCTTACTCTCTCTCTCTCTCGTTGGAAACTACTCCAACATTTGAAATTCTTGGACATCAAATTCAGAATTTCACCCCAATTATTTTTAATTAATGTAACTCCAGAATAACATTATATGCCAGTCACACCCATTCCTACAGGTCAATTTTTAAGGAGATCCTCTTGCCTTACTGCTTAAATATCCACCTCCCCTGCTGTGCTCAGCTGCCATTTTTTATTGCCTCTGTTAGGAATGTATTAAAACCAACCAAAGAGCTTTAACCTCTTTGTTCAACCTGTTTCCCCTGACATTTAGAACTCTTCCCCCAAACCAACTGACACAATACTTCCTACCCAGTGACCTGTCAGAAACCTGTGATCAAGAAAGCAGTCCAAAAAAATTTCTGATTTATTAGGGAGAAAGTGAAAGTTCTAGTCTTGGGTTCTCTCACTTGCGAGCTGTATGACTTTAGGCAAATCACTTTGTTTCTTTGGGCCTTGTTTTTCACCCATAAAATGAGAGGCTTGAACTAGGTGATTTCTAATGTCCCTTCTTGTGCCATCATTTTGGAATTTATAAATGAATGAAGTGGAATGTCATCAAGCCAGGGTAAGGTAACATCTCTGCCCAATTCTTCTTGGGTGGCTGAACCTGAGCAGAGTATTAGATTTAGCCAGGATTTGACCTGAAAAGAGGATGGCAAGGGCAGAGAGATGACAGAGGCTACTAGGAAAAGCATCACCAATACGGTCACATCTCCATTTGACCTTCAAACAGGAAAGTTTCCTTTATTGGGGCAGCAAAGCAAATGAACTGGTATATAAGTTGTCTTATGTGGGATTGAAGCTGGAATGCTTTTTTCAAAAACCTAGCTCCAGATCATGCTTGTGTGGTTTTCTTGCATCCGATAAGAAAGGAGGAACAGTTGGGGCTAGAGGAATGTCAGGCTAGATTCTTCCTTAAGTATCTGGAGAAAGTAGACTAAGGAGCATGTATGAGCATAAGGATGAATGGAGAGAGAAGGGCTCTCCCAAATCTATCCATGAGAACTGAGAAGGCAGGGAGAAAGGAGGTGATTTGTTGGCTACAATTAAAATGTATCTTCTGTAGGGATGGCTCTTACCTTGGGATAGATGGGGGGCTGGAGGGAACCTCCTTACTAGCCACTGTCTCCCTTCTCCATCCTTCCCCCCAAGAACGAGCACTTTCAGGGAGGAGGGGATAAGGAGGAATCTATCCCCACTTAGCTAAAAAATACTGGCATCATCCCATATTTTCTATGCAGGCAATTTATATATTATAACAAATTCTTTTACTCTGACATTTGAAAGAAGATTTGGAGGGAAGCAAAATAGCTCCAATTTAACACTGTAGTGCCCCCAAATAAAAAGAGCATCCATCATTATCATAGCCCTCAATGTCTTTCTCGAGTTATTGGGTATGTAAATGAGAAAGGCAGGCAAATTCACACATTGCTAAATACAAATGAGAAAAAGTCTCTTCCTAATTGGTGTCAATCACAGGATTTGTTATTGTGGGTTTTTGTTTTCTATGCTGTACTTTTAGCCAGTAGCACCAGCTTGGTGGCATGCACAGATATGGGACCACCAAGGAAAAAATATATTTGTTAATCCACCTGCCTGAATTTCTAAGGGCACAGTAGGTTTATATTTCCAAATCTACTCTCTTTTCTGATAGCAGAATTTTATAAAGCATATTAGAAAAAGTTACTAAAGAAGCAAGAGCTTTAAAAAGCATTAAATAATATGAAGGAAAAGAAGAAACCAGAAACCTCAGAAACAATGTCTTCTGATACAGGAAAAAGATTTTTCTTTGTTGCAAAGGGCATTATTATGGCCAACTCTCAATAGTATTAGATAAAGATAGCGTGGATGAATAAACGCAATTCACAGATAATTTCCAAATTGCATTTTAGTCATCTCTCTCACTGAACATGTTTCCCTTCAGCTACTAATAAGCAGGAAAATAGACTGAATTGAATTTCATCTTTGTCTTTCCACAGAGCACCTCAATGCTGTTAGTAAATATTAACGAGCACCTGAATTGCCTCAAGATTGCCAGTACAATGGCTAAAAAAGGGAAACAAAAAGCCTGGAAAATCCCAAAGCTGGCTAACTTTCCTCTGGAATAAAAGAGTTAGCCATAAAATAATACCCAGGCAAATCTTAACAGAGCCCTGTAGTCTTTTAAGACAGAGTAAAAGGTTCTAAGTGAAAGAGTGGTAGGTAAGCTGATGTCATTCTATTTGCCTCCCACTTCTTCCATCCAGAATCACTGATCTCCTCTGGGGCTGGTAAAAGCAACTGGTTGACGTCTCTAGTCTCTGGCCATTCTTAGGGATAGTCATTTTGTTCCTAAGTGTGACTCCTTCAGAGGTCACCCATGTGTTCTCAGCCAGCTCACCACAAATGATACCAGAAGAAATTGTTTGGGTGGGGCTTCTGATAGGGGAAAGTAAGACCCTGGAGTCTGAAGAGGAAGATGGGTGATCCATGATAGGGAAGGGAGGGCTAAACAAGATTAGGCTTTGAGGTCTTCCCGGTCTTGATCTGTGGAAAGGTTTGGAAACCCCAGACGACCGCTCAATTTTTGAAGAAAGTGGATTGTCTCCTGATGGTTCTGTTTCTGATGTACGTTTCCTGCAGGGTACTGAAGCATCCTGGGAGGAGAGGAGGCAAGACACGCATGGATCTGGAGAAAGGGTGTGGTCATCAGACACAAAAGATGTGGAGTCCATCTGGATGGAATCGTTTCCCTTTCCTTCTGGGTTTGTGTTCTCCTCTCTAGGTCTCCCAAGGGAAGGAGGTGAGTCATCCCCAGCAGACTTTGGAGGTGTCTCGCCAGTTGGGCTGGCCTCTGCTTTGGCCTTCTGTACAGGGGGAAGTACATCTTCCCCTGTGTTCTGAGCCTGGAGTGGCTGTGGAATCTGAGTGTATTGAATCTTAGGTGGTATGACGGGCACAGCCCTGGCCTGGCACATTTTGACCATGAAGGAAGTTCTCACTGCTGATACACTCACAGGGGCAGAATTACGGCGGCCTGTTAAGGCATGAGTAACCATGTCTAGGTCCTGGGGACCACAGTGAACTCTCCAGGGGTCTGCTTTACTGTGAGGTGAGGTCATGCAGATGGGGGACCATGGGTAGTTGGGATCTTTCGTTTTAGCTTCTCCTTGGTCATACAGTTGGCTTCCAGGTGAACTGAGTGAAGTCACATTCTCAAACCTAAAGAAGTCATTTACGAGAGGTACACAGTCCAGGTTGAGGGAAGAGGGTCTATTCTTCCCTTTAGGCAGCACACAGTCATTATTCTTTAGCTGTAACTTGGGGGGAGGAAGCAACTCACCTTTGGTAACAAGAGGCATTCCAGGGCTGGCCTTGTCCTGAACTCTGGATGGACAATTTTCCCTAACATTCTCTGATGCTGAGCCACAGCTACCTTGTTGATTCACGGGCATTGAAGGGTCTGGCTGAAGGTTTTCTTGATCTACTTTTGTTTCTTTCTCTGTAAAGCAGACAGGACTGGTTCTTACTGTTTTGGATTGTATGTCTCTCCCTGAATTCATGCCAAGGGCATCTTCTGTTCCCTCTGGCTCTGAGAGCTCTTTGAAATGTCTTGGTGCCTTCTTTTCCCATTCACCTTTTTCTCTGTTGGGTGGCAGCAGCTGTAAAGGGTCAAAAGCCATTAATGATCCCAGACTGACACAGCTACTCGATGAAGGGAATGGATGAGTCCACTGGTTTCTCATGGTAGTTTCACTGTCTAAGGAATGACTCTGAACAAAACTGGGTCTACGGGGGAGCCTCTTCTCTCTTTGATTTTGCAGGAGGAGCTCTTGTGGGCGAGTTTCCTGAATATCTTTCAGTGTTGGGGAATGAAGAGGGCTTGTGACCCACTGGTGGTCCTCCCAGGGCTCTACCATTTCTAAACTCTGTGGTGCAATGTCAGTGGAGGCGTCTTCTTCATCATAGTCAAAAGTGTCCTGCATTAGACTGGCTCTATCCCTCTCTCTAAGTGGCAAGCTCCCAAATTCCCTTAGTTGACCTTCTCCCCCCGAAGCCAATTTCTCTGTCTTCTCCTTGGGACTTTGCTTTTCCCCCTGTTCTGAGACCACTTCTTCCCGCTGATAAAAGCTGCCGGGATCACTGGGACTGTCTGCAGCCTGGGTCTGGTCTGAATGACAATTTGTTCCCATAGCCTCTGAAGTTTCTTTTCTCTCAGGGCTATTGGTCACAGAGTCTTCTTTCTGAAGAGTTTGCTCTAGAGGCGGGGGAGGTGGAAGTAGATTCCCTGAGCTGCCCATTAAGAGACTGTCCTGTGGAGAAGCAGAGTCCCCCTGCCTACTCGGCTCAGACAACAGCTTGGTTGCCTGTTCAGTCCGCTGGTGGCTGTGAAGCTGCTCTGGGTCTCCTCGAGCTCCAGGCATGGGGATAGCAGCACCCTCTGGAGGTGGGACCTGACTGGTTTTATCTGTAGTCTCTTCCATGGGGACCGCAGACAGGTTGGAGTCATCAGAGAAGTCCCTTGTCCAAGGGGAAAGGGTGGTCTTTGGACTTGAAATGAGAATTGGTTGGCTTGTGCTGATATCTGGGGCAGTTGATGGTAGAGCCTGGAACTCTTCCTCAGACTCAATGATTTTCAACTCTTGTTGAATCTCAGGCCACATCAGGGCACTCGAAGAGTCATCTTCATCCTGAAATATATCACAAATCCCTTTATCTGATTAGCAGGTTTTTTTTTTTCAGTTCTTATATTCATGCATTTATTCACTCACTCATTCATTCAGCAAACATTGTGTCCTTACTATGTGCAAGACACTTGCTAGATACTGGGGGTACAAAGACAAAAATGAAATAGTCCCTGTCCTTAAGAAGGTTACATTCTACAGGAAATTCACCAGGGCTTCTACTGGACGTCAGGGAAACTGAAGTAATAGCTAGTTTGTGAACATTCTGATACCAAGTACATCCCTGGGTTCCTCCAAATAAATGCCCTCATTAGTAAATGGATGATGAATTTATAAACATATCTCACTTAAGTATAACTTATACCAAATAAGACTGTAACAGCCACAGTTTGGAATTCTAATTGCCTGAGCCTTTGACTTATTTTACTAGTAAACTCTCCTGTCTTTCCCCACAGTGTGGTCAAGATTCTAGTTTTCCCTTCTTCTTTCTATCCCTTACTCCACTCAACAAACCTCAAAGCCCAAAGGCTCTTTTAGAATTGGGGAAATCTAGTTAGGGTTTGGGAAAGTTTTTAATTTTTAAAAAATTTCCCTACTCCTATTGAAAAATAGTTCAGTGTAGAATTTTTGCAAGCCAGTGTTTCCCTCATTGTTGTTCAGTCATTTTCAGTTGTGTCAGACTCTTTGTGATCCCATTGGGGGTTTTCTTGGCAAAGATACTTGAGTGGTTTGCCATTCCACCTAGCTACCCTGTGTTTCCTAGCATCTCTCAAACACTGCTTCTAAATGGCTTCTGCCATTCATGAAACACTTATTACATTCTACAATGTAAGTTAGATAATTGGGCTCGTAGATACTCATAGATGGAGAAAAGGACTCTTGGTAGAGTGAAAAGATTTATTGGAATGGAGACAGGAGACCTGGGTTTGTTGGTTTTTTTTTTAAAGCTCTGGCTGTGCCACTGAGTAACTGTGTATTTTGAGGCAAGTCACTCAATCCCTCTGGGCCTCAGTTGTATAATTTGTAAAAATGAGGAAGTTCGACCACGTGATCTCCATGGTCCCTTCTGGCCCTAGCTATCAAAAATTTTCTAATTCTTTTTGGTTTGTTTCTCATAATCTTAACTTTTTTTTTTGTTTTGATCTTAAATACCAAATAAAGTGCATAGTTTCATATACACTGTATAACAGAAGTTTGTACATGAAACTGAAAATCCCTCATGTGACTTTGTTATTCTTTTTTTAAGTATATGAAAAATTCAACATGTAACTGTGATGCTGTTCTGATTGTCTGGGATCTCTTCTAGCCTTAAAAGAGATATTTTCAACTAGAGTAAGAACACTTTAGAAAATAGGGCAGGGGGAGGAAGGCTCTCGAGGTTAAACTAGCCATTGCTGCCACCTCACCATTTCTTTTTTTTTGGCTAGGCAATGGGGGTAAGTGACTTGCCCACAGTCACACAGCTAGTAAGCATCAAGTATCTGAGGCCGTATTTGAACTCAGGTCCTCCTGACTCCAGGGCCAGTGTGCTATCTACTGCACCACCTAGCTGCCCCCACCTTACCGTTGCTGAAAGGAACATAGCATCTTCTTTTTTATCCCTGGAGCTCTCCTGCTGAGCACTGAGCTCACTCTGGTGGCTTTCATTGATCTTTGTGGCTTCCTCTGAATCCTGTCTCTTCTCTAGTGTGGTTGAAAATGGCAAACTTGCTGAGATGGTAGAGACTTCTTTCTCTCTAGGGTGGGTACTTGGCTCTGGGGAATGATTACAGCTGCATTCCACTGCCCTCTCCTTTTCAGGCATTGGTTTGGGGTCTTCCAGAGATTCAGACTTTATGGTTCTTAGTTTCTGAGGTACAGGAGCTGTGGTAGAAATAGAAATGAATGATTAGTTAACTCGTTGATTAAATGACTTGGTTTCTTTCCTAAAAAGCTCACGGCACAGGGATTGTTGGGAGAATATAGCTCTCCGATCTACAAGAACTGAGAGTTGTCTCCAGTGATTTCACTTTCTCTCTTGCGCCCAATTTGTGGTCCCCTTAAACTACCTAGAATTGAGCAGTCATTTTCTGCCCGTCTCTTTTCTTAAGAGATGCTCTCAGAACCTTCAGTAATGCTAGAGACATTAGGATAGTGACAGGGACTTGTCTCCTACAGTGGTCTTACACAATGCCTTGCATAAAACAAAAGGCCAAGAATATTTTTTGTCCACTGACTGATTTACTAATTCCTACAGCTTTTCACCCTGATGGCTTCCTAGCTTTGGAGAACTCATAACTCAGGGAAAAGGGGCAAAAATATGTTCCTCATACATGAGCCAAGGAAAACATTCCAAGATACTCAGGAACCTCGTTTTATGAAATAAATGTGTTCAGAAAACTTGCATGTAAAACTATTGTTGTCAGTAAACAGAAGAGAGGTATGGATGTTAATCTAGTTTTGGATCTTAAGCAACAGAAATACAGCCATGTTTACCTATAATCTAACTACAGGGGTTATTAATAACATAAAAACCACCTGGGGAATACACACACACACACACACACACACACACACACACACACACACACACACA